GTGGTAAGCACCTGCGATGGGGAGGACTGGTGGAGGAAGGTTAAGCTAAACAGAAAAAGAATCTTAACCGTGAAGGAAGGAGTAGAGCGGTGGAATGGAGTCAAAAGTCTGGCGGAGCGGTGACAGAAGTCCGGCGAAGCACCTGCGATGGGGAGGAGTGGTGGCAGGAGTCCGGCGAAGCACTGCGATGGGGAGGAGAGGAAGGAGGGAGAGAGAGAATTAGGGGAGGCAAAGAGACGTGTGAAAAGTGGTCGTAGGGTTTAGTTTAGTTTTTTTTATTTTTATAAATTTTTAACTAAAGAAAAATATAGAAAATATTATCTCCTTAAAAAAAAAATTAATATAATTTTAATGAGGTGGTTGTCCACATCAGCTGCCATGTAAGATGGTATTAAAATGTGGTAGATTTATGTGGTAAGCATAGCATTACCCCTAATATTTTTAAACAATTATCATAAAAGGATTCCATTTTGAGGGGTTGCTTCTTTGCAGCCAAATTTTGACCCTTTCATCAAATATTAATTCAGCTAAGATTTACATTAAAAATCTTTATCAGACTGATTTGATATTCTAATTCTAAGGTTAATCTCAATTTAGTACCCTAAATTCTCACCCTTAAGGTTAATCTCAACTCAAATTGCAGTACTCTGTGCTCCATGAAATTTCACAAGCAATGAGTAACAGATACTGCAACTATGCACCTCAATGCTGAAGGACATCACTCATAAGTGCATGAACTCTTCTTGAACTTGATGGGTTTGGTAACAGTGGGATCCAGAACCAAAGGGCATGAGATTCGCCTTTGATGCTTCGTTTTCGCTAGCTTCCCTACCACAAACGCTTCAGACCGGATTTCAAACTTTAAGGTCAATGGAATTGGAACCAACCCCCCAGTCTTTGTGTATGTCAAACTTGATCCAGCCCCGTACAGAGGAACCTTAGTTCCTTGCAAGTTCACTGATACCGTTCGGAGACTCTTTCTTGGCTGATAATATTTCTTCAACTGCAACAACAAAGTTAGCAAAAGTTAAAACTTACCATGAGGTTCCAATGGCAATGGAACAGCCATTGATCTTTGTTGGGTTGGTTCAATATGCTTTGCTCTTTTGCCTATTTTGTGCAACATGCTACAACTTAACCTAAATACTCAACTTTCATTGTTTGTTAACATAGCATCTTACTGGTGTAAATTACGATTTTGGTTCCTGTGTTCTGACCTGAAAACCATTTAGGTCCCTTGCAAATTGGCAAATTGAAACTTCAGGAACCCAAATGTCGAAAAACAGAAACCAAAATGGTAGTTTACCCTTAAGATTAAGCAGATTGATCACCAATTTTCTTAGAGATTAAAATGGTATTCATGGAGCACAGAATCCAACCTGGCCAGTTGCCACAGAAATCTCTGAGTAGGCGAGAATGATAGGTGTGGAGCTAACATGAATTCCAAATATTGAAGCAGAGTTGTGCACACTCATCTTAATGAGCCATTCACTGTCAGCATCTTTGTTGGAACCCCACTGAAATCTGAACCCTCACCAATATAGAAGTTACTAATTTCCAAGCTCTGCAAGAATCACAAGTCCTCCGTTAGACCAAAACAATCTCATCCTGTTTACAACAGCAAAATTCCCACTTCATGCTACATTATCCTTGAATTAAAACCCCCCACGCACTTTATTTTTTTGCCTAATACACCAACTTATCATAAAGGGCATTTTGAAAATAGAAAACCAACAAGTCCAATTCCTACAAATAATCATTTTTCATTATGTCTCACACCATAAAAGGCTAAGGAACACATTGTTCAACATCAGAATAAGAACTTAGACAAAATTCAGTATCAAATGATGATAAAAACATATATACTATAAAAAATTTGGAACAAATATTAGACGATGACAAGTTGTAAAATTAGCATACCTTGACTGCAACCGTTGCGTTGTAAGGCCTGCTTGCACCCCATATGATCAAGCAGAAGATAGTGAACAACATCACAAAGCTAAGGAGAGCAATGCAGACCTGCACACGCCGCGAGAGCCCCTTATCAAAATCATCATAAGCCCCTTCTTCCATAATCACCTTACACTCTGGCCACCCCTAGTCATTCCTCTGCTTCCTACCGCCTTTTCTACCCGAAGAGGACCTGAAAATTCCCGAGAATCGACTCGCGGAGGAGTTCCTTGAGTGGCGGCCAAAGGAGGGGTGTGAGGGTGACTCCATTGGACTGTTGTTGTAGATTGGAGTGGCCTGCATTGATGAGGACTTGTCTCCATCATGAGAGTCCCTAGAAGGGCTCTGCACATAGTATACAGGTACCTTTGGGGACCTTGATGGTGATGATGGAGCTAAGCTTGTGACATTGTTGTGTGGATTTCAGCTGCACCAAAATGGATTAAGCTGCATCCTCAACTTGTGATACTCGCAAGTGCACGAACCGTTGGTAGTTTAGCGTATGTAAGTGCGAGGTCGATCCCACGAGGATTGGTGATTGAATGATTCAATTCATTTTCCCTACACAAAACAGAAATGAAAAAGAAGGGAAATAAATAAAACAAGAAAGAAAGAAAATAACTAACTCAAGTAGATAAGTTCCCAAGTTCAATTAGATTAACGGATTGATTCTAGCTAA